GAGAGACAAGGGGTAGTCTCCAGGGGTCCTGGAACAGACTCTGAGCCCCCTGTCTGCATCAGCTCCTATACCCCAAAGCCTCATTGGGGGTGGGTAAGGGTTTAGGGTTTAGGGTTTAGGGTTTAGGGTTTGGGGTTTGGGGTTTAGGGTTTAGGGTTTAGGGTTTAGGGTTTAGGGCTTAGGGGTTAGGGCTTAGGGGTTTGGGGTTAGGGTTTAGGGCTGGGGTGGTGGGTTGTTGGACGTTAACTAAGCCATTCTTCTCTTCTCGCCTCCTTCTCCTGGCCCGGGTCCAGGGAGTCCCGAGAGAATCTCGCAGAGAGTCCCGCGGAGTATCCCTGGAACCAATAAAGTAAACCTAAACCCTAAACCCTAAACCCTAAACCCTAAACCCTAAACCCTGAACCCTAAAACCCCCAAGCCTTTGCACCCCAAACGAAGGCTGAACCTAATCCGTGAGCCCCATGCTCCCCCACCCCACATAACCCTTTTTTTTATCCTTAAACCCAGCAAGTTTTAAACGTAGGACCCTCTTCAACCCAGCAAGTTTCGGTCATGACATGGCCCTTCCTCAGGGGCCAAACCCAAAACCCAAAACCCTAAACCCTAAACCCTACACCCTGAATCCTACTTAAGCAAACCCTCCAAACTGCAACCCCACACCAAACCTTCTGAGGCCGAGGCCATCACAGCCGACTGCCCAGCAAGACCCAGACCTCGCCCCTGTTTAGGGCTTCATGAGGGTTTAGGTAGGGCTTAAGGTTTAGGGTTTAGGGTTTAGGGCTTAGGGCTTAGGGTTTAGGGCTTAGGGTTTGCAAGCCTTAGTGCTTATAGGGCTTAGAAGGCTCAGGACTTTAGGGGATTCATCATGCTTCGAGCTTCAAGGACTGACAGAGGGCTTCTAGGTCTCAGAGGGCTCCAGTAGCTTAAGGCGTTTATCCTGGCTTGGGGTTTGGGGTTTTCTAGGCCTGGGGTGCAGGTTAGGGCGGTTTAAGGGCGGGGGGGGGGGGGGGGGGGGAGACCTAAGACGGAGCCGTTGCTTCCCGAAGCCCAAGTAAGAGAGCCCCACATGTAAATTTCAATGGCATTCGGGGCATTCCGGATTTTGGGGTTTTTCGAAAGTTGAGAATGCAGCAAAGGCTTGTCTACGAGAGCTTTGAGACCTGAGACCTTTTGACTCCAGACCCAGGGGTTTAGGGTTTAGGGTTTAGGGTTTAGGGTTTAGGGTTTAGGGTTTAGGGCTTACCCCCAAACCCTAAACCCTGACAGGCTGGGCTTGGGGGCTTCGGGGTCGCAAGGTTAAGCAAGCAATGACCACGCCCCCCACATCGACCACGGGTCTCGAAGGCCCGCAGGGTGCTTAAAGCACATGTTCCCTAAACCCTAAACCCTAAACCCTAAACCCTAAACCCTAAACCCTAATAGCTCAACTTCGTATGAGTCCAAAAAGTCTCTAAGAGCCATCAAAGCCCCCTGAAGTCCCAGAAGCCCCCCCAGAAGCCTCATAAACCCTACGACAGGAACAGAAAGCCGCATGCATGCCACGGTATGCCTGGTACTGGACCAGCTGCGTGTCGTAGACCCTTCCCAGAGGAGGCAACGCCTGGTTACTTTTCCAACAATGGCGGGGATTCACTGGGCTACGATTTGTAAGCCTCGACTTCATAAGCCCTGCTGCTAGTTCAGCATTGGTCAGAAGACTCTGCTTTACAAGATTCAAAACCCTGAGGCCCGCGAAGCCTCAAACCTGGGATCCTACATGACCTCCCACCCACAGCACGCCCTACCCAGTTGAGGATCCTATGAGAAACCCTATAAGCCCTAAGCCCTAGAAGCCTCTAAGCCCTAAACCCTAAGCCTATAGGCCCCAAACCCTAAGCCCCAAACCCTAAACCCTGAACCCCTTAAACCGGGCTAAGCCACCAACCCTTTGTTCCCTGCCCTCGCCCCTCGCACGCCCGGGCGCCTTGGGAAGTTCCTGCTTCTGCAGATCCTGCAGCGCCCTGGCTCTAAACTGCAGGGTCGTGTTTACATCTATGACTTAGGGGTTCAGCAGGCTGAGGGTTGAAATCCAGAATTTAGGGGTTCAGGGGATCTATGGGTTCAGGAGGGCTTCTCCCATGCTCCGAAGTTAACTTAGGTTGATCGGAGCAAACTGAAGGCCAAATTCTCAGTCTCGAGGCCTACGCCCTGCAACCGGCACCCTCGAATACATCTCCCTCTTCAACTGAAGCCCTGCACTCTGGCGCCCCCTGAGCCCTAAACCCTAAACCCCTCTAAACCCCCAAAAGCCAGCGGCAAAATCCGGCCACGGAGTTTTGCGTAGGATTTCGGGCTTCTGGATTACCAGGGTTTGGGGCTCCCTGAATCTCTGACATTTCAAGCCCTCGAGACCGTGTTTCGCCCCCCAAAACAAATCCTAACCATGAGCGCTGAAACCGAGGCAGGCTGGCGGTCGCTGCGTGCCGATGCCTAGGGTTGCGGGGGGGGCTTCAGGGTTTTGTTGGGGCTTTTAGGGTTCTCCAAGCCGGGCATCCACCTCAACCAAGCCCTACAACCCTCAGCCCTAAACCTGCCACTCCCACCCCCAAAATAGGTTTGGGTTATTTAGGGTTTATAGTGCGGGTTCGGCAGAGGCTTTCATTGGGGTTTAGGGGCTATCTTTCCTAAACCACCCCAACCCTTTTTTCGGAACAGTACGTGGGGGAGGGGGCGGAGTTGAGTTTTATACTCATCATGACATTGCAAGTTCAGCCCAAAACCTCAAACCCTAAAAGGCTTACTCACGCCTGTAAATACCCTCAACTTAGAAGTGCCTGCGGAACATCTAAGTCTTACAAAAACACTCTGAACCCGGGCCTAGTTCATTACACCGAGTATTTTGGATAGCTTAAACTGTCAGCCAAAAGAGGACTCTGACCCAGCAGAGCCATTAAGGCTGCTGGCTCCTATATCAAGTCCATGTTGTGTCCCTTGAAGACCAAACCCCAACCCCTAAGCCCAAACCCGAGCCGCCCTAACCCCGCAAATTCCAAAAAGCAAACCCAAGCCCTAAACACATAACCCCGAAACCCCAAAACTCTACATCCCAAAGCCAGTACGTTCATGGAGTTTCGGGTTCAGGGTGTAGGGTTAGGGTTTAGGGGTTCAGGGTGTAGGTTTAGGGTTTAGGGGTTCAGGGTGTAGGGTTAGGGTGAGTCCCCTCTGTTTCTTGGCGGACATAGGTCCCCACGGCTCTGCTTCGGCAGCGCCAGCGTGCCAATGGCCTGCTTTGCAGCCCCTACCGACTAAGACCTAAAAGTAGATTTGAATTTGGGGTGTCGGATTTCGGGCGATGCTCAGCCTTGACTTGACTATCTTTTTGACATGTCTTTGTGCTGCAAGTGGTTTGTCGATGATCGTAGTGAGTGTGAATGGGATGGGTTGCAGCAAATCAGACACGTCATGAGTGACGGGTATGCAAGGATTTTTGTCACGCGCATGACGTGGATGAGAATTCCAGGTGCATGCAGTTCCCTGGTCCGTGGATCAGTGGATCCACCTGGGTTTAGGGTTTAGGGTTTAGGGTTTAGGGTTTGATGCTGTGAAAATACTGCAACTTACCATACCTTTAGCCGCTAGCCACGGTGCTTGCATGTGTACCTCCACACCGGTCATGCCGACAAAGCTGACACGCCCTTTGCTTAAAAGCAGTGATGCGACGTCACAATCAGTCGCGCGCACCACTTGCAAAGAGCCCTAAACCCTAAACCCTCAACCCTAAGCCCTAAGCCCTAAGCCCTAAGCCCTGAGCCCTGAGCCCTGAGCCCTGAGCCCTGAGCCCTGAGCCCTGAGCCCTGAGCCCTGAGCCCTGTGCCTGTGGTGGAGACACCTCCACCTTCGGGCGGGTTGGCTTCGAGTGGAGCCTCAGCAGTACTGGCGGCCCACAAACTTGTCTACCGGTGGTTGAAGGGTTTAAGGCCCTGAGACGCTTCTTAAACCTTGAAGCCGGAAGCCCTAAACCACTTAAAAGAACGCAAGCCCGGACACTTGAACTCTGAAGCCCTCAACTCTGAATCTCTCAAGCCGGAGATTCCCTGAGAGGCGTGCACTGGAAGTGCCGACACATCAGTTTGCGCGACCTGGTGGCAGGTTGGGGGTGTCAACATGGAGACGAACAGCGCAGTTGCGCGGCTTCTTCGCGGAAGCCTGCGCCACCTGAGCCTACCTCTACAGCGGCCATCAACCACCCTGCTTAAGCCGATTCCTCCCAAGATAAGGCTCGCTGATGAGATTTGAAGCAGCTCGATGACGCCAGGGGTGTCACGGCATAGTATGTCTAGGTGGGCATCTTACGCCCTCTCCGGAGAATGCTGGAGACTACGAAGCCCCAACAAAACGGTTCCCAACATCTCAGGAGGAATGGACCTTAAGCCTTATAAACCCTAAACCCTAAACCCTAAACCCTAAACCCTAAACCCTAAACCCTAAACCCTAAACCCTAAACCCTAAACCCTAAACCCCCTAGGAACCTTCGCCAGCTTGCTGGTGGACGTCTTCACGATGTCCAGCAGCTCAATACCAGGAGGGTTGACCTTCAAGACAAAAAAAGCAGAAAACTTGAAAGGTTTAGGGCGTTCTAGGGGCCGTTTTGTCAGAATCCTAGGTTCTTTCCATATCTCAAATGCACAGGCAGTGGTTTTTGGAACGTGGCTGGCTTAAACCCTTAACCCTCTACCCTAAACCCACAACAGGGGCCCAAAGCTCTCAACGCTGTCGGCTTGTGAGAAGCAGCTGCAGTGATGTTCCTTGTTGCCCCCAAAAACCTGCTTTCGTTTGGTCGCGGGTCCCGACCCATATGGGGTAGATCCAAATGGTGGGGCCCATTTTGCGGGTCCACGTTCGAACCATGAATCCCTTATGGGATAGGGTATCGCCCCAAGCCCTAAGCCCTAAGCCCTAGGCCCTAAGCCCTAAACCCTAAACCGTAGCTCTAGGATTTAGGGCTTCTCCCGGCGCGCCTCCGTGCCGAACAAGAAGACCGACCTGGCATCGTGGGTCAGCTGGAAGACCTGGTGCACTGAGTCCAGTTAAGGTTTAGGGTTTAGGGTTTAGGGTTTAGGGTTTAGGGTTTAGGGTTTAGGGTTTAGGGTTTAGGGTTTAGGGTTTAGGGTTTAGGGTTTAGGGTTTAGGGTTTACGGTTTAGGGTTTACGGTTTAGGGTTTGGGCTTTGTTTAGGGTTTGGGGTTTAGAGCTCAAAGCGTTTAGGGCTTCACAGCCAACTAGGTTAAGGGCTTTGAGGCTGAAGGGCTTCAGTTTACGGACTTGGGGCTTAGGGGCTAAGGGCTTCAGGGCTTAGGATGTTGGTGAGGATTACTAGGTTTCGTCGCCGGGGGCGGGGGGGGGGGGGGGGGGGGAGGGGATGCAACTTATTTGGGCTTCGGGTACAAAGTTTTAGTGGGGTTCAAGGGTTCGCGGGTGCAATTCGGGCTCAGGGTTCAGGGTTTAGCAGGTTGCAGCGTTGGGGGGCTGAGGGTTTCGGGAGCTTCCTCACAGGACTCCCCCCCAGAAAGCACACCCCAGCCCAGCCATCGCAAGACATCGAAACCCCAGAAGCCCCAACCCGGGTTTTAGGTTTAGGGTTTCGGGTCTAGGGTCCAGAACTAAGAATCTGAGACGTGAAACTGTGCACCTGGACACGCTTCGTCTTTGGCCGAAAACGCTAGCCAGGTTGTCATCTGCAAAAGTTGTCCGTCCTAAGTAAGAGCCTCTTGTACCCAAGCGGGGTTTAGGGTGTTGCTTTTGAGGGGTTCGGGGCCAAGGCTTGAGGAGGGCGAACATCTAATGTATCCCGGCAGCCTCATATAGGGGCCTTAATGATTCGAAAAATGTGAGAGTGGCTTTTTTAATTGGGGTGGCAATAGTAATATTCGCCAGGCCAGAGGGCCCCAGCCGAAGACTACTTTCCATTACGGGAGGTTTTCGGGCCGATGTATGTAAACAAGTCTATATAGGGGGGTCCGGTGATAATAAGAATGGGGTGGCAATTGTAAAATTTCTCTGGCCAGGAATTGAAAATTTTACTGAAAATGCAGGACAGCAAACAGACCAAGTCGGGCCGGCAGAGCAAAAGGAGCTGCAGAGAGCAAGCAGAAGCCTTCAAGACAAAGCAAAGCAGACCCTGACAGCTGACCCCCCCCAGACCCCCAGACCCCAGACCCCCAGAATCCTCATAATTGACACCCCCTCTTTTTTTCCACCCCTCCAAACCCCGGGGACCAAAACAAGATTTGGGGGGGGGGTTTATTAAAGCGACTCTAACATTAGGATTTTAGGGGGTTTATTGTAGTAAACCCTGAACCCTGAACCCTGAACCCTAAACCCTAAACCCTATAATTATAAAGGGATCATAGGGGATTACCATTAGTAACCATTCCGACCCCTGAAATTACCTGGAGGAGCTGAGGCTCCTGCCTGCTTCTGCACCTGCTCAACCGCGGCCTGCCAACGGGTTCGGGGTTTAGGGTTTAGGGTTCAGGGTTCAGGGTTCAGGGTTCAGGGTTCAGGGTTCAGGGTTCAGGGTTTAGGGTTTAGGGTTTAGGGTTTAGGGGGTTAGGGTTCAGGGTGTGGGGCTTAGGGCTTCTTAAGGCTTAGGGCCTGAGGGCTTTAGGGCCTTAGTTAACTTAGGGCCTTAGGGCCTAGGGCAAGGATTCGGGCTTAGGGCGTAGGTAGGGCTTAGGGCTCAGGGCTCACGGCCTAGGGCGTAAGGCTTAGGGCTTAGGGCTCCGGGCTTAGTTAGGGCTTATAGGGCTTAAGGCCCAGCGTTGATCCCTTTCGGGTTTAATTCGGGGCCCCTTCTAACTTAACTATGTTGCGTGATCAGAATTCAGTGGATAAATCGATCGAATTCTTACGGTGGTACGTTTATTTGAAGTGCCTTAACAGCAACCGAGGCTCAGGGTTTTCCGGCGAGAGGCCGAGGTCTTAGGGTCTTCAGGCGGGAGTTCAAAACCCTCAACCCTGCCTACACCCAAACCTCCAAACGACCTCCAGACCTCGAAATCTCCACCCCCTTCAAACCCAAAAACGTCACCATCCTAAGCCCTAAACCCTAAACCCTGAAACCTGAACCCTGAACCCTGAACCCTGAAACCCCAAACCCCTTACACCCTTGAGAGAGCCGCGAGGGCTCCGAAGACCTCCGCCAACAAACACACCCTGAACTGGCTCAGGGTTTAAGGCTTTAGGGTTTTATGAGGTTTTAGCGGTCGTCGGATGATCCAGGCGAGACTGACGCACAGATCGCTGCTCCAGGTACTTCTTGGGGATGAAGGACGAATCTCGGGCCAGTCTGCGCTGAGCCTAGCACTGATCTGCTGCATCTGGGTAGTTGTCAAAATTAGGGTCCCTTTTTGGGTACCCTAAATAATAGGTGCCATGTTCTATTAAGGACCCAAAAAGGGACCCTAATTTTGACAACCACCCATTTGGGGTCTTACCTCCTTCAGGAGCTGTGATCCTACAAAGCCCCAGGTCGTCGGGATCTCCATGAGCTCAGCGGTCTCCGGTAAGAGTGACGGACCCGTCCTCCCGGTACTCGACTGGCACCATCATGATGAGAAAACGGTGATCCTGAGCTTCCCAGAGCAAGGCTTTGGGTTTCGAGAGTTCTGGGGAGATTTTGAGGTTTTCGAGGGCTTTAGGACTCTTGTTGTCGGTTTTAATGCTTTGGTTTCTTTTGGCCCTAAACCCTAAACCCTAAACCCTAAACCCTAAACCCTAAACCCTAAACCCTAAACCCTAAACCCTAAACCCTAAACCCTAAACCCTAAACCCTAAACCCTAAACCCAAACCCTAAACCCTAAACCCTAAACCCTAAACCCTAAACCCTAAACCCTGAACCCTGAACCCTGAACCCTAAACCCTAAACCCAAACCCTAAACCCTAAACCCTAAACCCTAAACCCTAAACCCTAAACCCCAAACCCTAAACCCTTTAACCCTGTAACCCTTTAACCCTTTAAGCCCTAAACCCTAAACCCTAAACCCTTCCTAAACCCTAAACCCTAATCCCTGCCAGGGCTTTAGGGTCGGAGAGCTTCCGGCCTGCTGCACTTCCTGCGCGACGTTGCAGCGAAGCCAGGTCGCCAGGGGGTCCTCGCGAACCCGGAACATTGAACCCCGAGCCCTAAACCCTAAACCCTAAACCCTAAACCCTAAACCCTAAACCCTAAACCCTGAGCCGAGGTTTAAGGTTTAGTGTTCAGGGTTTAGGGTTAAGGGTTCGGGGTCTAGGGTTCAGAGTTTAGGGCTTTCTGAGAGTGATTGGATGACAATGCAGGTTCAAGCCCTCCTGCACCCCACCCCACATCATCCCCCACGTAATCCAACAGCCAAGCGCTCACGCGGTCTTCGGAAGGCTTGTGTAGGGCTGAGGTGTATAAGGTTCTAGGCTCAGGGTTGCGAATGCTACAAATACACTCTGGGGCCTTAAGGGGAGGGTAGGGCCTCGTTGAGCTCCGACTTTCTGGGGTGCCGCTTGAAGGGGAGACAAGGCCCTGAGTCTTGACACTAATCCCCCATAAACCCTCAGGCATCCTAAACAAACCGAACTATTTACTTACCGAACTTTGTGGAGTCAACAGGAGTCGCACTAAACCCCAGACTCTGAACCCCCTATCTTGCACACTCAACACTTTAGCTCTAGACCATCCCAAGCCGAATCCTGAAAAGCCTTCCCGACGTACAAGGCAGCACTTTAGAGCACCCTTTTGGTGCACATGGAGTGGTCCACTGGTCTACCCAATGTCAAGCAGTGGAATCATTGGAACGCCAATCTTTCTCAGGGTAGTTACATGCTCCCTTAGAATGGGCCCTTAAAAGGGTACCCGGTTCCCCGTGGAAACCCCTTTATATACCCTATACAACTTAAGGGCCCATACATCAGAACCCTTGAAAGGAGGTTAGGGACCAAACTTGAGGGCCGGAGGCAGGGAGGACGAAAGCTCGGGGGCCGGAAGCAAGAGCAAAGTTGCAAGAGAAAGTGCGGGCAGGGCCCAGTTGGAGGCATGCTTGAGGGGCCAGCGTCTTCTTTTCAGCCGTCGCAGTGTTGGGTAGATACTAGCTTCTTGCAATCAACTAGCTTGTTGCAATCAACACATCACTAGTGGGCGGCGACGCATGTTGTGCTGGGAGCCTGACTCACGCGCTGCGGTCAACACGCGACGGAGTCAGGTCTTGACGTAAAAACGCCTCCCCTTAAGGTATTGATATATCAATTTACCCCCCCCCCCCCACCCCCCCCCCTCCAAAACCAGGGAATTCGTGTGATGTATCAATTTACCCCCACCCCCCCCCTCCCCCCTTCCAAAACCAAGGAATTCGTGTGATATATCAATTTACCCCCCCCCCCCCCCCCCACCCCCTAATAAGATAGTATCAATAATACGCTGTTTTCTGGCCGTGGTCGGCCCCCTGCTGCTAAAGCAGATAAAACTCCAGCTTCGCTACGCGAGCTTTCGTGACTAAGAGACCATGAAACTACCCTAAACCTTAAACCCTAAACCCTAAACCCGAATCCCTAAACCCCTTCTACTCATGTCGACCTAGCCCTCACAACCTCCGTTGAAACTTGGCGCCCGTCCCCTCCCCCGCAAATCTCGGAAACGAAGCCCTACGCCCTAAACCACAACCATCGTAACCAAGGGTGCACCCTAAAGGGTTTAGGGTTTAGGGTTTATGGTTTAGGGTTTAGGGCTAGGGTTTAGGTTTAGGTGTGAACTCTTCCTACTCCTGCTCAAGATGTGCCAAGGGCCCCAACAACCCCTCACCCTACACCCGACGACCTCTGCGCTCTCTGGCGGACTGCTTGTCCAGCCTGAACCGGGAGCGGATCGATGCATCATGACAAATAACCGAGATGCAAACTTCAATGCCGAAAAGTGATGAGAGAAAGGGTGCTAGCATGAACAAGACAAAGCACGTTAATCCCTCTTTTTCGCCTGAACGTCAAGAACTTGGATATTTATGGGGCAGAGGCATAGCCTTACATGCTTTTTTTAGACTGGTAATTGCGGACACTTTCGCCGTCGGCTTCTGTCGCGAGCCGCGGGACTCTCCGCAGCATTCTTTAAGGGTGGGCACTCCAGGGCTACTCGGCGAGACCTAAACCCTAAACCCCAAACCCTAAACCCCAAATCCTAAACCCTAAACCCCAAACCCCCAACCCCACACCCTAAACCCCAAACCCTAAACCCTATCTCTTGGGCTGGGCACTTGAGTGACCAGGCCAAGGAGACCGGGCGGGACTTCGGAGGAGGCGAGGAGCGTGGTGGACTGAAAGTCTAGGAATAAGAAGCTCAGAACGAGGTCTGAAGAACTAAGGAAGAACAAGCTAAAAAAGGGGGCCTGAATTATTTGCAATATAGGGCCTTGGGGGATACTATAGTAAATTTACAAGGGGACCATAAGGGAACATTCTTCGTAGCTTGCTATATTTTGTAAGAGTGGCCATCAACAGAACAGTAGTGGGTAGAACCCCAAACCCTAAACCCTAAACCCTAAACCCTAAACCCTAAACCCTAAACCCTAAACCCTAAACCCTAAACCCTAAACCCTAAACCCTAAACCCTAAACCGTTGGTGTTGGTGGTATAGTTGCAGGAAGGATAAGATCTCCCCCTCGGAACTCATGGCCTGAACCCATGATGAAACCCCCCAAACTTGGGTTCAGGGTTTAGGGTTTAGGGTTTAGGGTTTAGGGTGTACGGCCTTGGAGAGTCAGCAGCTCGAAGAAGGATTGCGGCAGTCTCTCCACGTCCTGCACAATCCACTGGGGAATGAGCCTTTGGCTAAAACCCTAAACCCTAAATCCTACACCCAAAACCCTAAACCCTAAAGGCCCTAAACCCTAAACCCGATACCCGAAAAGCCCTAAGCATGGCCCGTTTAGACCCCATAAGCCTTCGAGCTCCACCTTTCTCAAAAGACCAAACCCTATAAGGCACCGTAACCCCTATGTCAAACCCTTCATCTGGCACACAACTGAATGGCCCAATTGTAGTTCCCAATGCAAGGAGTTGTAAAAAACGATAAGAAAACTATGTGGACAAGCAGGGCACTGTGGTCAAAACCCTTTGAACCCTTTATTATGCAACGAAAGGTTGTCTCGCGACCTCTTGCACGTCCTCCACAGGAATCTTCGCACGCGGACGCGCATGTGCAGGAAGGGGTGTGCGCTGACTTCGGCAATCGTGGACAAGGGCTGAAAGCTTCCAAGACCAAACAAAGACCCGTAGACCAACACTTCCGGCATGAAGGCAAAGGGTCACCTAGGGTTTAGGGTTTAGGGTTTAGTGTTTAGGGTTTTTTTACAAGCTGTCACTGACTCGCGGAACTGGCAAAATGTCACGCGCAGCTTGCGGTGTTTCTGCCGCCGCGATTATTGGGGGGGACTCTAGACAGATCAACCCTGAACACCTCGACAGCTCTAAACCCGAAGGCTCAAAACCTGAACCCCTTCACCCCTAATTAACCCCTAAATCTGAAAGCCTTAAAACCTTAAAACCCCAAGACCCCAAAACCCTGAAACCCAAATACCCTAAAACCCTAAGACCCTGCGACCCTAAACTCCCAAAAACGCCTAATGCCCGAAAGAGCGCCTCCAGTTTCCGGAGGCCAAGAGTGTACGCGCCGCGGGCATCGGTGATGGCGACAAAGACCTGGCACGTCGTGTGGCCTTGAAGCCCGCGCTCAGGGTTTAGGGGTTTAGGGGTTTGGGTTTAGGGGTTTAGGGGTTTGGGGGTTTAGGGGTGTAGGGGTTTAGGGGTTTAGGGTTTTACAGGTTTAGGGGTTTAGGGTTTAAGGTATAGGGTTTAGGGTTTAGGCTTTAGGATTTACAAAGGGGTTTAAGAGTTCCGGGTTCAGAGGTTAACTATAGGGGCCAGGATTCTCGAAGTCCTGGACACCAAAACCTGAGAAAGGCTTTGGACTTGATGTTTGGGGTTTTGGGCTCGGAGTTTACAGGGGGCGCTTCAGAGTTCTATTTCTAAAGCCTTTGTTGCACGCATTTTGGGGTAGGGTTTGGGGTTTGGGGTTTGGGGTTTGGGGTTTAGGGTTTAGGGTTTAGGGTATTATGATGGGGAGAATGGTTGTTTACGCTCCGATGCTGCCAGCAGCCCGACTCAATTCAGCACAACGGGGTGCCGAAAGCTCAACTTCGCTCTTCCTTCAAGGCTTCTACCTTGGACCCTTAAGGTTGTATTTTCTGGGTTTTCGAGTCCCTTTTTAAAGATCCCCAAGGGTATACTAAGGGCCATATTGGGAGTATATTTCGGTGAACCTTTAGGGGTACAACCTTAGTGGGGTACGAGTCTTCATCCCATGAGGCGAACGCGTCGGGCCGACAGAGTTAAGGAAGAGAAGGTAGACGGACAAAGAGACGTTGGGGCCTGGGCGGAAGAAGGCCACCCCCGATTTCCGACTGAAGCCTCGCCCTAAACCCTAGCCCTAAACCCTAAACCCTAAACCCTAATCCCTAAACCCTAAACCCTACACCCTAATCCCTAAACCCTAAACCCTAAAACCTACTCAAAGGTTCAAGGGTGGCAGCAAGTAAGGCTATTCGAACCTCCGACTGAGGCTACAACCAATCAAGACTATATCTACACGACTTGCAACTTATAAGCCCAACTAAAACGACACACGTACCTGTGAGCAGTCTTCCCACATGCACCATGGAGAGATTAGGGTTTAGGGCTTCGGGTTTGGGGTTTAAGGGATGTGGAGCCTACATGAGAGTTTATCAGTCGGGATGTGGGGATTCCAGAAAGCCGCACAGATTGCTGGCTGCAGATCCTGTATCCCCTTCGAGTTCTAGACTACCCCTGAACAAATCATCCCAAGATTCAGAAAACCTCAACCCGAAACCATAAACAGGCGCCGTTTCCCCAAACCACCCACCAGGCCAAGCCCGACCAAAGCTTCGCAACGAAACGGAGACCCAACATGCTGCAAATCTGAAAAGCAATCCTTGACATGATCCTCCTAAGCCAATAAGGAAATACTCAAACATCCCAATGGCCTACCAAGACAAGCAAATGTTCAAGGGCCTAAGAGACCCCTTGAGCAAGATCGCCAAAAACCTTTGGGTTGGACTCAACCTCCAACTCTCAACGCCCAATACCCAACCCTCGTCCTAAATCCCAGCCCCAAACCCAGACCCTGAACCCTAGACCCGAAACTCGAAACCGACCCTAAACCCTAGGCTCTAAAAGCCCTACACCCTAAACCCTAAATATCCTCAATCCTAAACCCCAAGCCCTAACCCTAACCCTAGACCTGAAACCGGTTTAACAAAAGCAAGCTCCAAAACCAACCAAGAGTTTACTGGCGCAGGGCGCGCACCGCACCAGAGGGTGCACAGCTCGAAGAGGAACATGGCGAAGTCCTGCTCGGCCATGGCCTCTGACGCTTGTGAAGCAGGGTTGCAGAGGGGGGGAGGGGGGGGGGGTTTTAGGGTTTAGGGTTTAGGGTTTGGGGTTTAGGGTTTAGGGTTTAGAGTTTAGGGTTGAGGGTTCAGGTTTAGGTTGGGGGCTTTAGGCCTTTGGGGGTTTGCGCTCGAGGGTTTTTGGTGGCGGGGTTTCAGGGTCCCGAGCTTTAGAGGGTCGAGTTGAGCACTTATAGCCGTCAAAAAACTCAAGGGTTGAATGGAGCTCGGACTAAGCCTACCCCTAAACCCTAAACCCTAAACCCTAAGCCCTAAACCCTAAACCCTAAACCCTAAACCCTAAACCCTAAACCCGAGGCGCTGGCTCTCAGGGTGTAGTTTCCTTAGGGTCCACCCTAGCCCAGCCCAAAGTGCGGCACTCTTTTGAGTGCCCACGGTCGTGGTCTTCATCGTGAACCTTGTGTACTACGACCTCGCGCACTTCCAGGTCCGGGGACACTTAGCTGCTGATTTCTAAGCCTCTGTGCCACCCACGCATTGCTGCCCATTTGACGGCCTCTGCGGATTTTCATTTTGGTTGTGCATGCGCTTTTTTTGGTACGTGGTAATCCTCTTCGCTTGTTTGGGAGAGGATAGATACGCACAAGACGGCCAGCAGGATAGAACCCAGCTGGCACCGAAGAGCCCGGAGGCTGCGTACACGTGCCCGTACAGTCTTGCGGACAATTCCACTACTGGCTCGCAGCAAAGAGACAGTACAGCGTGCAATTTCCAGGCTGCAACAGCACCACAGCAAGCCCGAGATTGCTTTCCGCACTCAGAAGCAACTAGCCCTGGGCAACATGGAGGCCAAGTCTTGGAGGTGCAGTACGTGCCACCAACAGAACAAGTTGTCACAAAACTATTGTGGCAAGTGCGGACATCACTGGCAGGAGGCCATTGGGGCCACGGCCAGTTATTGGACGCCTCAGACACCCGCCCCGTGGAGAGGAGACAGAGTAGACAACACGGGACGACACGGAGCTTCCCCGCGGCGCAGGGCACCGAAGTCACCCCGGCGCCCAGGCAAAGGAGCTGGACAGCACGTGACAGAGTCGGTTGCGGGGCCGGCAAAAGGCAAGAGCAAGATGACAGGAAAGGGTGCGGTCGAGGAAGCCAAGCAGCCACCGTCACTTGCAGCACTGCCCGAGCCGCCAACGACGACCATAGCAGTGCCGCCAAGAAGCGGGCTACCAGCAACACCGCCAACCAGCAGTACGACCTCGGAGCGCAAGCTGTTGGAGGCACTGGTGGCGCACATGGGCCCCACCACGGAGCTACCGCCAGAGTTGGCTCAGCAGTTAGAGCACTACCGTGTCGAAGACGAGAAAGCGCAGAGCCGCGAGCTACACAGAATCGTGGCCAGGCAAGCAGAAGCGAAGCGGGAGCTTGGCAAACTGCGCACAGAAAGAGCCACCTTCTGTACAGGATGGAACCAGTACATACAGGACCTTCTGGGGTTGGTGGCGCAACAGACGGAAGAACGTGCACAAGCCCTACAGGCCTACGACGCTGCCGAAGAGAAATGGACGCAACGCTTTGTGGAAACTTCGAAGCAGCTTGCCAGACTTGCTGCCAACAAGGCAGCGCCGGATGGTGTGATAGACCTCGAAACCGAAGAGGACGCCATGGAAGTATCAGAAGCAGCTGTGGCAGATGCAGCAGAAGAGGAATCCAAACGCATTGCCGCCAGGGAGGCGCGGCAAACGGCGCTGGAGAAGCAACAAGCGACTCTGGTGCAGGCCCTTCATGCTGCCAAGGAAATTACAGCTGGCGCGGAAAGGGAAAGGACCCCCCGACGACGAGGACACGAAGGCAAGGAGCCCGAGATGAGCAAGGGCGCCGAGGATGCCAAGTCAGTCCCCAGCTAAGCCTGCGGCCGAGCCGCAAGGGACCCCGCAGGCATGCTCCTCCAGATGGTGGGAAATCATCTGTTGAGTACGAGAAGCTGAGACGCGTGGCCACTCCACGGCACTCAGTTTGTGACGAGGACAACTATGTGCACCCTGCGAGAGCAGAGACCATAGCTTTAGTCCTCTCCTACCAGGTCAAGTTCCAGGACATTGGTTTTGACTTGACAGAATTTGCAGACCCCAGGTGTCCCGAGGAAGACGCCGTTGCGGGCAGTGCAGAATGCAGTCCAGTGAACCGGAGCTCGGTGCATCCGGAGGCAACGGAGATCGCCTGTAGATCCTTTCATGATGGGGCCTGTGTTGATCCGGGATTGATCTTCGTTGAAATCGGATGCCAGGGGACGAACGGTTTGCCGGGTCATGATGTTGGAGTTTACCAGAAGCAGCATCACTTCCCTCTTCAAGTCCTTTTTGTTGAACAGGATGCTAGCCGCGTGTATATAGAGGAGGATGATTGTACAGTTTTTGACTGTGTGGATAAGGGGTCTCCTCCAACTATCCCAAACCTGAAGGCTTTGGAAAACAAACACCGTAGGCAGGTTAACAGGGTTGTTAAGGAGTGGGACTCCATTGCACAGCGTGAAAACGGCCTATCCGTCGAGGACGGTGCTCTGCCAAACCTCGGGTTAGGTGACGTTCCCTTCGCCGTTCCATGCCTTCCATGTGCACAGCAGAACGGCCAACAGCTGGATGCGCCCAAGCCTCCAGGCCCCCATCCCGCCAACTGCTCGGCAGGACAACTCAGCACTGCCCATCGACTCAGCATGCGTCAGGTGCTCAAGGACCCAGACCCCCATCCGGCCAGCCGGTCGGCAGGACTCCGGGTGCATCAACTCAGCACGCGTCAGGCTGCAGGTCAGGTGCCCAAAGTCCCAGACCCTAATCAGGTGCATAAACTCAGCACGCGCCAGGCTGCAAGTCAGGTGCAGGTCGAGGACCCTCATCCGGCCAGCCGGTCGGCAGGAATCTACATCCATCAACTCAGCACGCATCAGGCTGCCGCTCAGGTGCAAGTCCCAGACCCCCATCCGGCCAGCCGGTCGGCAGGACTCCAGGTGCATCAACTCAGCACGCATCAGGCTGCAGGTCAGGCGCAGGTCACAGACCCCCATCCGGCCAACCGGTCGGCAGGACTCCAGGTGCATCAACTCAGCACGTGTCAGGCTGCAGGTCAGGTGCAGGTCTCAGACCCCCATCCGGCCAGCCGGTCGGCAGGACTCCAGGTGCATCAACTCAGCACGCACAAGGCTGCAGGTCAGTTGCAGGTCCCAGACCCACATCCGGCCAACCGGTCGGCAGGACTCCAGGTGCATCCACTCAGTGCGCGTCAGGCGGCAGGTCAGGTCCCCCATCCGACCAGCCGGTCGGCAGGACTCCTGCATCAACTCACGCATGAGGTGCAGGTCCAAGACCAGGTGCATCAACTCAGCACACCTGCTGGTCAGGAGCAGGTCACAGACCCCCATCCGGCCAACCGGTCGGCAGGACTCCAGGTGCATCCACTCAGTGCGCGTCAGGCTGCAGCTCAGGTCCCCCATCCGACCAGCCGGTCGGCAGGACTCCAGGTGCATCAACTCAGCACGCATGAGGTGCAGGTCCCAGACCCCCATCCGGCCAACCGGTCGGCAGGACTCCAGGTGCATCAACTCAGCACGTGTCAGGCGGCAGGTCAGGTCCCCCATCCGACCAGCCGGTCGGCAGGACTCCAGGTGCATCAACTCAGCACGCATGAGGTGCAGGTGCAAGACCAGGTGCATCAACTCAGCACACCTGCTGGTCAGGAGCAGGTCACCGACCCCCATCCGGCCAACCGGTCGGCAGGACTCCAGGTGCATCCACTCAGTGCGCGTCAGGCTGCAGGTCAGGTCCCGCATCCGACCAGCCGGTCGGCAGGACTCCAGGTGCATCAACTCAGCACGCATGAGGTGCAGGTCCCAGACCCCCATCCGGCGACTCCAGGTGCATCAACTCAGCACACCTGCTGGTCAGGAGCAGGTCACGGACCCCCATCCGGCCAACCCATCGCCTGAACTCCAGGTGCATCCACTCAGTGCGCGTCAGGCTGCAGGTCAGGTCCCCCATCCGACCAGCCGGTCGGCAGGACTCCAGGTGCATCAACTCAGCACGCGTGAGGCTGCAGCTCAGGTGCAGGTCCCAGACCCCCATGTGCATCAACTCAACACGCATCAGGCTGCACATCAGCAGTCAGTCAGCGCGCGTCAGGATGCAGGTCAGGTCCCCCATCCGACCAGCCGGTCGGCAGGACTCCAGGTGCATCAGGCTGCAGGTCAGGCGGCGGCAAGTCAGGTGGTAGGTGAACTGCAGGTGCATCACGCAGACAACCAGCCACCCAGCACAGATGCATCAGGTTGCAGGTCAGGTGCCCGATGTATCAGCTCTCCCTACAGCTATCCGCTCGGCAGGACTCCAGGTGCATCAGGCTTAGGTGCCCGCAGTGCCAGGTCTCCAGGTGCATCAGGCGGCAGGTCAGGTATGCAAGGTCAATCCAACTGCCCGGTCAGCGTACGTTCATCAGGCTGTAGTACCAGGTCTCGAGCAAGCAGCAGAACTCCTGGCGCATCAGGATGCAGGTCATTCTGTGACATGCCCGTACCCTTAGGCAAAAGGAAGCATACCCCTTCCACTCCGCCCAAAACTCTGTCACTGCACAACCTTGTCAGCCCCCCACGGCCGCCGCTGCCTCCTGGCACTGAAAGCCGGCTCATTACAGGAGTACACCCCGACATGATTTGGACTGTGTCCCAGGGCATCAACATCTCAGACTACTGCCAGGCCATGCCACCCTCGAAACACATCCACCCTACTGCCAGAACATTTGTCGGCCTTCTGCCTAAACACAATAAAGTCGACCGGGTTGAAGCACTCATGTTCTACGTGGACGGGGCCTATTGGCCTACGTCCGGTAGGGGGGCTTGGGCTGTTGCTGCGGTAGGCTGGATTCAGGGTAAATGGCGTTGGGTAGGCTACTTAACTGGTGAGCTCACTGACGAAATATGGGGCCCTGGGGAAAGATCAGCTTTTCAGCCTGAACTCTGCGCGCATCTGGTCGCGCAGACCACAGCCATCGCGGCGGGCGTGCCATTCACCTTGACTTATGACTCGACGTCAGCAGCTGACTGTGCCTGTGCCCTCTCTGCCTGCCGCGCAGACTACGCCCTCACTGAGGCCATGGTCACTACTTTTGCCATGCTGACATCTACAGGTCAGGTCAGAGGCTACCAGCACACAAAGAGCCACCAAGGTCACCCAGGCAACGAGCTAGTTGACTCCCTTGCCACGGCATGCCTGGCTGAGGTGCTGCCCCCAGAAGGCAGCTTGGTCCCATTCCTCTTCACTGCCATTCACTGCCCCGAGTTTTCCTGGCTTTGGCTGTCAACCGTGCACCATTACAGCAGCTGGCCAACCATTGGCCCAGATGGGATCACGGAGCCCAGCCAACCGCAAGGCTTATGTATGCATGTTGCATCACCGAGCAGATGGGCGCCTGCTGACACCAGCACAATTGAGCCGCAGCAGTTTCGCCTCGACGTGTGCATTGCATCCTACAACGCCATGACCCTGGCTTCTGCGTTGCAACGTCAATGTGTGCACCAGGCCATGAAAAGTTTAAAAATCGGGGTATTGGGCCTGCAAGAGACTCGAGAAGACACCGAGCCATTGGTGGTTAGGCAGGGAGTTTGGAGATTTGCTAGCAAGGGTGAGCATGGGCAACTAGGTTGCCAACTGTGGGTTGACTCCACTCGGCCCGCTGGGTTCACCGCTTCGGGCGACAGTGTTCCATGGCAGCTTGACACCTTCGCCGCGCGTTTCATGCACCCACGTCTCCTCCTCATCTCTGGCCAATTTGGCAGCATCAAGTGTTTGTTTATAGTCGGCCACGCTCCGACCTCTACGTCCCCGGACGAGGTCATCAATGCGTGGTGGGACTTGCTGCGTGAGCAGGTCAACCGCCACATTGCGGGACACGTGCCACTGTTCATGCTTGACGCGAACGCACGCTTCGACAAATCGGAGGAGCCGACCGGACTAAACGCTCACCGTCTGGCCGCTTGCCTCGAGGCCTGGCATCTTGTGCGAACACCTGCCTGGGACAACGGACACGCCATCACCACGTGGCGGTCACCGAACGGCAAGCAGGCGTGTCTTGACTACGTCTGTGTGCCGGCGGACTGGCAGGTTGGACTCAACCGCCCCAGCACGCACGACATTTTAGATGTTAATGCCGGTATTGACCACAAACTACTAAAGGTTTCTGTAGCGGCCAGCTTAATTGTCGCGCGCAAAGCTCGGTTGACCAGACTGGATGTTGAGGCCATCCACTCGCCTGCTGGGCGCATTGAATTGCAGCGCATCCTCAACCAGGCACCACAGGTTCCATGGGAGGTCGATGTAGATGACCATCTGCATGTGCTCAACTGCTACCTTAACAGTGCCATCGCGCAATCTTTCGTGCGGCCGCGAGCGGCCGCCCGCTCGCCGGTCCTGTCACATCACACCGTGACCTGCCTTCAACAGCGAAGAGCTGCCCGTTTCGTGCACCGATGTCGTAGGCAAAGGCTGGAAAGGCTACAGGCATACATCTACTTCATGGCTTGGCGAGAAGCATGTGGCCACGGCCAAAGCAGGCAGCTGCAACACGCAAGCGCCCGCCAGCAACGGCGCAACCTGCAAAAAAAGCTTGCTGAGCATTTCCTGCGCATGCGTGAGCTCAACAAGGAGCTAAAGCGAACCCATCAGAGGGACCAGGCCGTTTTCGCTCGACAGATGTACCAAGACGCTAGGGCCAAAGGGCCGCGCCATTTGGCACATGTCCTGCGTGCTGTGCTACGCACCGGAAGACGCTACAAAGCACCGCGGATGGCGCCCGTTCTCGAGATAGACGGGCAGATGGAACAAGACGCTGCTCGAGTCGCCCTGGCATTCGGGGACCACTTCGC